ATCAGGAAGCCACTTGAGATGAGGTGACCATACATAAGCATGCAAGATCATGTCCCTGGCTTGCTTGGGGCACAGCTGATCTCACCCATGGTGGGAAGGAAAGCAGGACTCACGTGTTACTGGAAGGAGCAGCTCATCTTTGTGCTGAGTGAGCTCCTCTGAGGTCCAGGAGAGGAACTCAAGGGGAACAAACAGAGCAGGGCTTCCAGCTTCCAACCTGTGACAGTTTCTCAGGTTGGTCTGTCATGGTGCAAGTATGAGGTCTGTGAACCTGGCAGCCCCTACCACAAGTGTGTGGTGTCCCACTGGCCTTCCCAAGCACCCTACACGTGATTCAGCCGCTCATTCCTCCAGTGTGACCTGCTGGAATTAGCCCAGCTGAGGGAGGTGGGACCCAGAACAGGACAATGGGTCACAGAGGCACATCTGGGTTGGCATCAATAAGTTATGAAGGCTCGTCAGCCCACGAATGGCATTACCTCAGCACAGACCAAGAACCAGGCATTAACTTTTAATGAACGGCAGCTGGGGGAAGCAGAACATGCGAGAACAGGGTGGCTGGAGGTGGAGCCCCAGCAGTGCCTGGCTGCCTGGAGGAGTCCTCTGCAGCCTCTGTCACGGGATCTAGCCCCAGCCTGCCCTGGAGATGATGCACGGTGTGTTAGACCAGCTCTACCACCACACACTACCTTCTCCTGAACCTCTCCTAGTGGAAAACGCTCCACGCTACCTTCCCCTGAACCTCTCCTGGTGGAAAATCCAACTCCACGGGCTGCACTCGTGGCGCCAGCAAGCACACATCGTGCTCAAACCGGAGCCCCTGGTTCTTCTGATCCTCCTCCCACCTTTAATTTAATGAAAACTAATGTGGGAGACAATTATCCCTGAGGTTGGGCTCAGGAGACATTCAGAGGAGGGATCTTGGCAGTTTCTCATGGCGGTGTTTAACAAAAGTAGGCTCTAACTGGTAACAACCAACAGGACGGGCTCTTCTGTTCCCCACAATAAACATATCAGGCAGAAGTACTGGGGCAGGGATGGCCCCAGGGAGCCAGGAGGTCCTCGTAATCATCAGCTAATTACCCTTGGGGGTCATGTTTCCCAATGATGGACAATGTTCACAAGCTGCTTTCTGCAAAGCACGGAGGGATGTGATTCCCTGGACCAAAAACCACATTGGGGGGACGGCTATGGACCCCGCACGGGGACATCTGTGGTGCCAACCCCCCTGTTCCTCAGCCCTGCTGTTAATTACATGCTAATGAGCTCTGCAGGAGTGATGATTCTTCTGGGTGGTTCCCAAACCCAGCAGACACCGAGCTCATCAACCCCCCACCTTGCTCCATGAGTGAGCATCCCAGGACCTCACCACTCTTCCTCCTGGAATTGCGGCTGTGGGTGCTGGGTGGGATCATCCCCCAGGACCAGCAGAGCTCCAGGGTGGCTCGTAGCCCTCCCAAGCCCTCAGCCCAAGCTTGAGCGTTCCCCCAAGGGGGAAGAGAAGCCGCACAAGCGCAGCCAGCCGTGTCCTGCCTCAACTAGTCAAGGGCAGAGAACAAGGCTCAGACAGCAGCTCCCGGGAGCGTTTCAGGCACCCGCCGCTTGCAACCACTCATCTGAAGACCTAAAAAAAGGCCCAGTCTCTCCCCAGGCGCTGCAGGGAGCCAGGCCAGCCCTGCCTGGCTTTCTCCATCTCCAGACCTCAAGAGGCTCAGAGCCTGGAGCTGAGGTGGATCCCACGCTGGAGCATTCACCCACCCTGCACTGCAGCCAGCCCTCACTCGAGGAGGGGGAGCAGCAGACCCCATTGCCAGCCTCCATATTTCTGTATATATATTATTTTTTGAAGGTGACACTCACATCCCTCCCCTCCCTTGCTTACCTCCCAGCGGTGCAGGACTCCAGCCAGAAGCAGGAGGCAGTGAGACCCAGCTCCTTCTCCCTTGGGCCATCGGTCACCGGCTGCATGGGACACCAGCCTCCATCCTCCCAGCTCCTCCAGCCTCTAACGGGTGAACCCTGGGGGACAGGTGGCCAAAAATCTCCTCCTTTTCACTCCAGAACCTCCCCCCCACACCTGCAGCCAGGTGGGCTGGGTGTGAGGAAGGTCCCCTGAGCCCATCCTCAGCCCAGTGCAGCCAAGAAGAACCACTCCCCTGGCCTAAAAGCTGAATTTTCAAAATGCTTAAAAAAAACCCCACCCCATAAACCAAACCAGATCAAAACCAAGCCTCTCCCAGCCCTCCAGGTCCTGCTGAATCTCCATCCACCTTCCCA